GGGGGGGGGACTGTTCAGTGATTTGTAGACATACAGGAGTATTTTGAACTGGATTCGAAAGTGAACTGGTAACCAGTGCCGTGAGGCCAAAACTGGTGTAATGTGCTCTCTTTTGCCTGTACTGGTTAAAACTCAGGCTGCTGCATTCTGGACCAGTTGTAGTCGTGCTATGGAGGTCTGACTGATACCAAACAGTTGCGAAATGCAGTAATCAAGCCTAGATGTAATGAATGCATGTATTACTGTCTCCAGGTTATTTTTGGACAATATGGGCTTCAGTTTAGACAGCCGCCTCAGTTGGAAGAAACATGATTTAACAATTATGTTTACGTGACTGTTAAGTTTCAGGGAAGGGTCCATTATCACTCCCAGATTAGTGACTCTTTGTTTTTCTGACGGGGTTAGAGCAGAGAGTTCAGTATGTCCTGATGCATGATCAATAATCATCCAGGTAGAAAAAATGAACAGACCTGAGTTGTTAGGTTAGTTCAGTAAAATTTAAGAAATAGGCGTCATATTGCTGATTTTGAAGAAGTTTGCTTTTTCTACAGTAGTCCAACCGGTTTAGCGACAACAATTAAAGACTGATTGATTTTTTTTTGTTACTCTACTGCGACACCTGGTGGTGTTTAATAGTTCAACCTTTAACAAGTGAAAAGAGCTGTAAAGTTTTTAGCAATGTCTCTGTTAGTAAAACTTCTCATAAACAAGCGGATGAATCTTATTAAAACTCTCAGAAAGTATTCTAATATATAATTTAATGATGGTGGTCAGCTCCTCCCGTGAATCTGAAACAACATAAATATCGCTGACTATAAACATAAACAATACGGCATTGACGAGGGCAGCTAAGTGATCTCTTCTTGTTTTTCCACCCGTTACCAGGACCCCTCGCACAGATGGCTGCAGTAGCTAATCAGAATCATTGTCGACGCACCCTTCTTCTTCTTTTATTTGCAATGCTCATTTGGAATTGCGCCTTTTTGTTTGCAAATTGAACCTTTCTCTTGTATTTGGCCTTTGTTCGATAACGGCCGACGGTACCGGAAAAGGTCTCCAGTTAACGCAGTCGCAAGTTAAACCAGAACACCACCGGAAGCTGGAGGCAACCCGGAAAAAAAAAAAAAAAACCACCCGCCTCGTCAAGAAATCTGTAAATAAATTCAAATGTACCTTTTTCACTTAACCAGCTGAAGCGTTCGCCTAATGTTTAAGATTATTCTCTGTTTTTTAAAGTGAAAAATCGTTAATTTGCCAGAATATTTCTCCACCAGGACGCATATCTGTAACATGGCGCCATTTACTGTTTTTTTTAGGGATTTTGTTTACATAACTGTTAATTATTTGTGCGTATGAATAAGAATAAGTGCAGTAATTTCTGTTAAATATGCGAACATTTTCACATTTAACTTTGTCTGTCTGTCTTGGCTATTGCCTGTTTGAAAATAAGGTCCAAGACGATCTATTCTAGTCTATCCGTGACAGTTACTGTGCCTTTGCAGAAGCATGTTGTGAGGTTAAATTGTGTTTCAGTTTATTTATAAAGAGCCAAGTCACAACAGAAGTCATCTCAGGGCACTGAACAGAAACATTCATGCATAAAAAGTAAGTGTAAACAGAACAGTAAAACATAATGTTATTGAATATAGCATTAAATGTGTTGATCTCAGGAACAAGGACTGATGTGTTTTAGTGGATCTATGAAATAATAATGTGAGTGATCTGAGGGATTTTGTAGAAACAATGCCATTTTAAATTTAATGAACTGAAAGGAAGGAAATGGAAATGCTCTGTGTTGGAAATATTTTTGAGGCTGAGAGTTAAGGAAAAAGCGTTAGGAGGGAATCTGAAAGGAAAACGTATACGTTTTACATAGAAATTTACATTTTATTTTAATTATTCATATTTAGACTTAAATATTCAATCAACCTTTATTTATACAGGTAAATCCCATTGAGCCTCGAGGACTCATTTACAAGAGAGACCTGATTTCAACAAAGAAAGATGACAACAATGGACAACAGCAACAACAATAAGCAGTTATAAAAACTCATACTACAGTTTTTTTTTTTTTATTGTATATAATTGTATATAATGTATCAGTAGACATTTTCTGATCATAGCTCAGACAGAGAGGGAGACAAGCCATGTTATATCAGAGACATATAGAAAAGAAAATCACAGTAATGAACTGAAAACTGCAGCAAAGTAGTGAGAAATCCTTCTTTTCTGGATTTGAGGTGCATGGCTTTGCCTTTGGAAAGATGAGAGAAACAAATGAAGTGCTATGTGTTGTTGTCATCATTGTATGTTCCTATACAATGGCGAAATTGGTTCTCTGCATTTAACCCATCGCACCTGGGATGCACCCAGGTGGAGCAGTGGGCAGCTATGTAGGCGCCCGGGGAGCAACGTGTGGAAATGACTGGGGATTGAACCCAGGCCTTTTGGGTCCCGAGTCGGCTGCGTCTGCAGAATGCAGTGTTTCGCCCATCCATGTTCAATGGGGGTTGGCTCATGCCCCGATAAAATCATGGCATGTAATAAATTAATAAATGTCTATATTAATTGTATGTAACCAATTCACTGCAGCCGATGGAAGCACCAAAGCTGAAACATCATCATCACCCAATCCTGTCCCCCTGCACCATGCCCGGGATCTCCCCACGACTTCTATATCTAATATTCATATGCACCTTATAAAGTGATGTGTATGCTCTGTAATGTGCATGAATGCATTAACAAGTCCAGAGCATAATCATTAGCTTACGGGCATGTTCTTTTTTCTTGCTGACTGAACTCCCACTAGGCAGAAAAATGTAGCCAAACATCTCAACAAATAAATAAGTAGAAAGACGATGAAAACAGCACATAGAGAATTGGCAGGATTATTTCAGTTTTCTTTCTTTTTTGTTTTAGGAATGTTCTGTTGGATATGTAGACTGCACTAACAAGAAGAGATGAAAGTAAACCACAACCAGCCGTTTAAAGAATCTCCCTGCCAGTCCTACAAAAAGGGCAATCTTGACCACCACATGGCATCGGAGCATCATAAAAAAGCCTGTCAGCACCAGTCAAGTTTGATAGCAGGTAAGATAATTCATTTTATTTTGATAAGGCAAATCAAAATATCTGATTCATGCCCTGAATAATTAACTGCAGGGCAGCTGTGAACCCATTTTATTTAGTGCAACAAAACAAGTGATGTATGTGTGAGTGTAAAGGTAATATTTCCTAATGTACATGTGTTTTAGTGGTCCCTGCACATGTTCAACAGATGGTGCTGATTAAAGGAGAAGCTCCTGAAGAACGGAGGCCTGGTGTGGACCAGCTGGACCCCGAGCCTCTCAACATAAAGGAGGAAGAAGAGGAACCTTGGACCAGTCTGGAGAGAGACCAACTGAATGTGAAGGAGGAGACTGAAGTCACCAGGTTTTCAGTCACTGCAGTTCATTTGAGAAGTGAAGATGATGAAGCAAAGCCTCTGTTCTCACAGCTTCATCAGCACCAAGTGGAGGACAGAGATCTTCCAACCAGCAGCTCAGCTGATCAGATGGAAGCAGCAGCTGATGAAGAGGACTGTAGAGGAGCAGAAACTACCAGAAACCCAGATTTAAATACACACATAGATGAATCCAGCACTTCAGAGACTGACCTCAGTGAGGATTATGAAGATGATGAGGATGTGAACTATCAATACAGTAACAATAGAGGGAAGAAAAATGTAGAGTCACGTAGGAAATTGCAAACAGAACCAAAAATATTCAAGTGTAATGATTGCGATAAAATATTTACCGGCAAAAAAGATCTAAAGGCACACTTGGGAGTTCACGCTGGAGACAAATTTTTTACTTGTGATCTATGCAGACAAAGATTTAGCCGAAATTCACATTTAAACTACCACATGAGAATCCACACGGGAGACAAGCCATTTCCTTGTGATTTTTGTGGACAAAGATTTAGCTTTAAGACCAACTTAAACAGACACATCAGAATCCACATCGGTGACAAACCTGTTGAATGTGATGTCTGTGGACAAAAATTTAGCCGAAAGTCTCATTTAAATTCCCACATGAGAACCCACACAGGAGACAAACCTTTTCCTTGTGACATTTGTGGACAGAGATTCAGCCAAAAAGCACATTTAAATTCCCACATGAGAACCCACACTGGAGACAAACCGTTTCCTTGCGATGTTTGCGGACAACGATTTAGCCAAAAGTCATCTTTAAACACCCACACAAGAATCCACACAGGAGACAAACCGTTTTCTTGTGATGTCTGCGAACGGAAATTTAGCCACAAGGCAAGTTTAAGCTCACACAAGAGAACCCACACTGTAGATAATAAAACAGCTCCCAGTGACTTACATTAGGTCACACAAAACAGAATAACAGTTCCAAGGTTCTTTATGTAGGGTGGAAATCTATGCTTACACAGATAAATATTTTTGTATACTGGCTCTTTTTATACTTAATATTTTTTCTATTTTGTGGTGAAACTGGGACCTTGAGTACACAGTTTCGTTCCACCCCATGTACCACATGTGACGCAAATGACAAAGTCACCTTGAACCTTGATATTGTCCATATTGTATGAGTTTGTTTTTATTTGTACTTATTCTCTGCCACATTGACCTTTGGGGCTAAAAGTTTACATTGATCTATAGTTTTAACATACTGTACAATTTGTGTGTAAATAATTTTGATTTCTGTTCTGCCATGTTTTACATTAGAATTCATGCTTTCTTGGTAAAAATGTTGACTTAAAATACATCTTGGAACTTTTAGTTTCAGCTTTTATCTAAAAAGTATCCAAGCTGAAAGGCTCACTGTTCAGTTGCAATCAGATAGTAAACGTTGAGATGAAAATATTGGTTATTTAATACATTTTCAACCAAATATTTACATTTTATTTAACACATTTTTAGTAATTGTCTTATTAATACTCCTAAAAATTGTTCATTTTGGTATTAGGAACGTTATGGATTTTTACACAAACAAGAAGAACAACCTTGTTTTATATTAACATTTTCACCAACATAAAGATTTTTATTTTTGATTTAAATATTTGTTGAATAGACAGTAAAATAAAAACTTCATGTGGGTCCTATATTGGTGTTCATGTCACTGAGACATATTCTGTCATGAACATAATAAAAATGATTTGGTGTTGAGTAGGGTTTAAAATTAATCAAATCTAACCAAAAGTGTAATAACATGAATTCCTCCATGAATTTTCTTGTCAACTAAGTTTTTATTTTATTTTATGTTTTTTATGGCGTGACAGAAGTTGGCAGGATGGACAGAAGGTGTCTTAGATGGATAAAAAGATGGTAAAGCAAATGAGACAATAAACTTTTGTGCTGTTTTGGTAAAATGTACTGCTCGTCTTTTTAACATGTACCAGAAGGCATGATCTCATCACCGATTTACCTGGCTGCCCGTGCATATTTACATTGTTTTAAAGATTATTTTACTCACTTTGAAGATTTTAATATGGCACCTATATAGTTAAACATCTTGACTAATAACCCTAACAGAGCACTGAGATTTTCAAGCCAGATGCTCTAAGTGCAGCTGAGGTTTAGATTAAAGCACAAAACAAGCTTTTTCAGTAGTAGTCTCTAAACTTTGAAACAACCTGCCCCTTAATATTCATACTCCAGAATCTACAATCTTTTAATTCCTGCCAGAAAACTCACTTATTTACTCTGGATCTTAATACAAGTTCAGTAGATTAGTAGTTATTATTAGTAGTAGTTCAGTTAATCCTTAACAAAAAAAACTTGTGTTAAAAAGTTTTGTAGTTTGTTTTCAGCTTATTTTATTGTTCGTGTTGGTTTTGTGTACGATTTTGCACAGTTTTGTTTGCTGATGATTTTTCCTGTTTTAATTGGCTTGTAAAGCACTTTTGTCAATAGCTTTAAACATGCTACGTGAATAAAAAAATGACTTTGAAAAATGTTAATATTTGTTCTTTTATTGTTGTTGATTTTTATAAATTCAAATTATTATTTTTTGCACTTTAATGTTGAGTTTTATTATTAAATAAACAAATTGGAATTGTCACTGATGCATCTTATGTTTTATTTTATGATTCAATGTTTTTGTATTCAATCACATTTTTAAAATTGTGCTGCGTGCTTTTATTTGAACACTTCCGCTCCTTGAATGAAGCCACTTCCGTTGTTTGACCCGGAAACGTTCTGAGATTAGCGTGCCTGCAGCTGTACGAAAACACTGGACCATCTGCGATAGCTGGACGCGGTTAGTATGCTAACTCATGAAAGCGAGTGGCTTTTAAACGTGTAATTTCTAAAAGTAGACAACAGAAAGACGATGGATGTGTTTGAAATGTTCAGGGAATGCGCGATGTACTTATACATAATATTTAAGCGCGGTGTATTCACTCTGATCTCACGCACATGCCAACAATATTCAATGAAATACACACTTGAATGTGAAGTGATGGACACCATAATCGGTCTTTTGCACGTGACGTCACGCCTATGCTGGGCGCCATATTGGGGGGATTACCGTCGTGAGCAGTACTGATAGCAGCGTAGCTGTGAAAATGTATGTGTATTTGCTTGGATTTATAGTTAAAGTATGGATTACAGGTAATATACGTATATGTTTATGCAGACACACAAAACTCACATAAATTAATATGTGTGTATATACACACATACCCAACTTGTGTCTTTAAACTAGCAGTGAAGTGACAACATGTGTATAACTTTGACTAAGATGACTAAGATGTTATGTTTAGGGTGTTTTACCTTTGCTGTGACCACAGTGTTGGTGCATCCTTCAGGTTTAAATGAATATAAATCTTGCACCCAACCATTGGTGAACAGCCCATGAGCCTCCAAGGACTTATAGTTCCGAAATTCGTCAAATGTGTAGGCACTG